ATACTGAGCTGAAACTGCCGCAGGTCACGACACGTGGCTCGGCAGTGTTTGGTCAATACTCTATTATGGGTCCCACGTTGCAGCAGCTGCCGGCAAACAGCACGGAAATAAATTGGAGGCCCAAAGGTTAAACTCTGAATCTGTCACCTGCCGACTGACATCCTCGAACTCTGCTTTCTCATTGTGAGTCAAATGGAAAGGAAATTGGGGGAGGGACAAAGTGAGAGTGTGGCAAAGAACTTAATGTTGCGTGAAAAGCGCGCAAAAGCTGAAATGAATGGAATACAAGGAAAATCAACTGTACTGTCGGCTTCCACTTTGACAGCATCACAGCAGAGAGGAGCAGAGCACGACGTTTGCGGAGCACTCACTCAACCGCAGCCCAAAGCCGTAAAGCATAAATAATTCAGGAGGCGCGGGGGAGGTACAATTTTCTTTTTTCACGCCAAAGAAAGATTGACTTTTAATTTGCCATGGAAACTCCTGCAAAGGGAGACCATCTCTTTTTATTCCGCAATCCTGCGGCAGTGTTGGCTTTCGCTTATAAATAAACCAACAATTTGTTGCTCCTCAAATAGCAGAAATTCCAATTAATATGCAAATGTTCGAGTACTCGGGATAATTAACCAAGAAAACAGAGCGCTGATGATCTGAGTATTTGCTTTCAGTCGCGGCGAATCATCATCAGGCAGCCATACAGGACCCAATGTCATTACCTCTACAGCGCTGACAGGGCACATCCACAGGCTGCCATTAGGCGGCCCCTAAACTGTCAACTGAAGCACCCCGGCCACCCCGATGACATTTCAATAAACAGATCTGGCTCTAAACAGTATTGATTAACAGGCCATGGATGAGCGGCAAAATGGAAATGAGTGGAAATGACAGACAATTTGAAAGGGAAGCAACTGCATGGAGTCTGGGCTTCAAGTCTGTACTGAAGGCCTGCAAAGGCACTGATAGCCACAGGACTGGGTCCCCACCACGCCGGACAATGCAGTCCAATTAGGCAAATGGAAGGGCGATTAAGTCCGCAAGGTCAGGTCCGCATGTTCATCAAATAATGACAAAGTCATTTCCATTTATTGCACACAATTTCAATTATATCGAGTGCCGTGTTGTGCTCCTGAATCGAAGTCGTGACAAATGTCTATTGCGGAATAGATTTGCATGGGCCGGGGCTGGGCTTTGCCGGGCCTGCGCCGCAAATGGCAGTAATTTATCAAAAACAAAAGGCGCTGACTTGGCTGCTTTTACCTGGCGATAAGAAAAGCCAGTAAATTTGCCACCCACTGCCAGGGGCCTTTTGTTCGGTTTGATATTGCCATTTAGTGAGGCTCCTTTTGTTGCTGACAACCGGAGATAAATACATATATATAGGTCATTTTATTGTCCTCCGTTTTGTGTGGAGAGGATTGGCCGGGGAATCAGTGTGCTGTGCATATTTAATGGCGTATGCAAATGCAGAGGGTCCCGTTCCCAAAATGGCTTAAAGGCCGGTTTATTTACGACTCGAACAATACCACAAAAACATATTTAACTCGCTCGCCGTCATTGTGTTTCTACATTTGAAATCCTTACCGCATCTCAAAGGAAACTCCAAATTGCCACACCCACACCCGATCTGGCCCTAATGCCGATTCACTCTCCTTCATAGGCATTTTGTAGGCAACCTCAATCCGCATTAGTCTGCAGAGAAAGCCCTAAATCAAATTGCCTCTCGTTGGATTTGACAGACGACCCGGCCTGTTATCAATGGGCGGGCTTATACCCTCATACGACATAGCGATTTCCAAGGGCACACGTCGACATACATATATATTTAAGTGTGAGCATCGACATTCTCAATGATTTGGCTGGGAAGCAATTAAGTCGATATTTCAGCCGATTTTTAAATGCAGCTGAAAATTTGGAAAAATACCTAGAACAGTATGTTCTGCAAATAATTCCAAAAATCATTCACGTATTTAAATTGCAGGCGATAGAATAACAATTAAAATAGTTGTCGAGCTTCGATGGTATAGCAATTATTCTATCCATAAATATGACTCCTTTATGTATTGATATACATTTGTACCCCTTTGTGTGAATACATACATAAGAGCATTTAGCTAAGAAACACAGATTAAATCGATATTTCACCCAAGACTAACCATTTCAAAGCAGACTTTTCCATTCACTTTCTCTATCTCTCAGCACATTGAACACTCTCCTGTTCACAGAGACACACATACACACATATATCAATTGCAATCAATCAAAAATGTGAAAGCATGGAAAACTCGTTTGCATTCAAATGCAGAGACAATGAAAGTGAAAGCTTAACCAGAAACAGAAACAGAAGCCAGGACCTGGGATTTGGTAGCTGGGACCTGGGAGGTGCAAAAGTGCAATTTGATTTGCCATTGCAAGGCTTCTACCGGTCATTCATTCATTCATTCCTAAACTTCACTGACATTGAATCCGGAGCGACTGCCAGACACTTCTGGGCACCTGGTAAGTGTTGAAGCCATAAAAATTTAAGAAAACTAGAGGCATCCGAGGAGTGTTTGCTTTGATTTCGATTTCATTCACGAGAAGACTAAATGAAATGATGTGGAGTGGAATGAAGTGAATTTGAATTGAAGGAATACGCTCAATTGGGATCTGGCCATTGCCCTGAAAGTTTTCCATCAAAGCTTTTGCGCCTTAGAAATGGCTTTTCCGCTTTCCATCCTTTTCAAAATTACATTTTAAATTAGTTGTTCCTAATGCCATTGGCAATCGTCCTGATCGGGCTTAGTGGCAACTGCTGTGTGGTGGCCATTGCAAATTCATTTGCTGCAGCAAATTGCACTCACAAGTGCGAGCTCTTAAGCAGCTTACCGTCAACCACCGGGGATCCACCATTCAGAGGAACTCCGGGATATGCTATCTGTAAACGCCATTTACGTGGCATATGTATACTGGTTGTAGATAAATAATGAATTGTTTGAACAGCCAATTAATGAAGTTATGTCGCTTAGGCATTGAATGAGAGGGAAGAGAGAGGGAGCCATTGGACATAATGTAATGTTACAGTCCAACCACGTTATTTATTAGTTCACTTAGTGCTCTACCTTTTCAAAAATTCTATTAAAGAACCCACATATCTTTTTTCATTTTTGTTGCCAATTTTCTGGCGACCACTTGCTTGAATTCCACCTTTGGAATTTTCATTTTTTTACATTCCCAAGCACACCCGAAAGGATAACTGGGAAGGACATGTGCAACTATTAGCAATTATTCTCTTTCGACATTGCTACGAGTGTGCTGCTGATATTTTATGAATCGATACGTGCAAATGGCCAACCAGCCATCCAGCCAGCCACGAGCTTAGGTATCCCCCATGGCCGTAAGTGTTGCCCTGCCGGATATTTCGTACGTGCACCCACAACATGAACTCATAAATATGTATTGATTTTCCATTCACAGCTTCCAAGAGTATAAAAAGTCTTGAAAACTCGTGGAGGCAGCGAGGAGCAGCAGTAGCAACAATGGCAACCCAGGACAGAGTTATGATTATCGAAGTTTTTTCAGCACATAAATGGAAAATAAATGCGAGAAATTCAACGTAATTTGCGACACTCCGTGGAGTCAGCGAACCAAAGAGATGCATAAAGGTTCTTTACCAAATATTTATCGCAAATCTCACGCCAGTCAGGCGGAGGAACAGCAAATTGCAGCGAGACATGCAAATAGGAAACAAAGGATCATGTGCCACGACTCTGACTCCTTCTACTCCTCCAGAGCCCTAACTCCACTTCAGCTCCATGAAGGATGTGTGTAATCCAAGTGAGACATGTCTACATCATGAGTTCATTAATTTGGCCTCGAATAATGCTCTGCCTCTCGTATGGAGCGGGGAAACCCATATGTTTCTACAACATTTGCTGTGACTAATGGGCTACAGAGGGCCATGAGATGTGTTGCGTTGCGTTGCGATTCTGGAAGCTGGCTGCGGCCTGAGTGGCGTGTGTATAATGTTCCAAAAATTGTGAAAACGCTCATAACAAATTTGTTTGATGATCGGAAATTTGTCAAAAACATTTCGCACAAAAACAAACATTTCCCTGCCGCACTTGTGTGGGGAACTATATTTCATTGAAAATCTCTGGGATGAAAGAGAATACATAGATTAGATCCAGATTTGATTAAGAGATTAAGCAGTGAATGTTCCAATTTGTTTTGGCAATTACCCAACAAACATATGGTGTTCATAGTTGAGTAATGGATGATACTTCGCGGCTGCGAACTAAATACAGAATTGCAGCGCAAAAATCAGGGCATCGTAACAGTTGCCAAAGGCCGATCCCTGACCAGGCAATTACAACTGCCAAAAACTAACGCCACCACAAAATGGAGCTGCCATTGGCTGTAAACCAGCCGCAAAGCTCGCACTTGAAATATTTAACAATGTGCCCAAATCAGCAGAAAGAAGTGGCATGAAAAGACCAGCCCCATCATGTCAGCAAATTAAAAACCATCGACAATCCAGCAACGAGCATCTATCGAATGAAAATATATTATCAACCGAACGCCCAGCTGCTGTGGCTGCTTAAAACGGATCAAAAACTTTAGGGCCGCTAAGCCCCTGCAGGCCTAATTGTAAAGGACACTTGACATAATAAAGGTTGCAGCTTCAAAGGAATATTTTTTAATATTTTAATTGGCAAAAAGGCAAATGATAATTCTCGCCATCAGGGTTAAAAAAATATTAAAGGGGATAATGAGCTGATGGAAAATTTATAAATTTAAAGGGCCGATAATACTATTTTTGTACGACGTACATAAACATTGTTAAAGCTCAAATAAGCACTGCAAATAAATTAATTAAATTGTAAATCTCTCAGTCAACAGATAAACACCATTGAAAGCAGCTGCAGCCGCCTCTTATCTTTTTTTCTTCTTCTGATCTTATGTGTGTCTTATCCCCAGATATTGCGCTGAAACTGGTCACTAGCTGTTCGAGTGTCTACCAATAAGGTCGTGAATTTCGTGTCGAGAAGAGTGTATGGACTAAGCATAACATTTGGCAAAATTGAAACCAGAAGAAAAGCTAAAAGTGAAATTAAAACAGCTGTTACACGACAACTATTCCACCGACGCACTTTTTACACAATTCCATCAACTTTCATAAGTTAATCCAATCACAGAACGCTCGGTAGCATTATTGGTTTTCGTTTGACCACGATAAGGTTAATTTTTCCCTTTCTCACACTCCTGTAAAAGTGTCGAGTGAAAAGGTTCCATGTAACATTAGCTTCAGCAATTGTCGAGCCAAGGGTCGAGAATTTTTGTGTACTTGTGTCCCTTTTGCCATTTCATCTTGGAATAATTAAGCCAAACAGAAATGAATTTGTGCACGTGCTGCGCTCAAGAAATTGCTTTTCGTCCGCTCAACTTTTCTGGCCTTTTATGTTTTTGGCTGGTATTTCCCTTACCCTCCTTTTCCCTGCTGCTTTGTCTCTCATTTTGTTTTTTTAATGTTCGTCCGAGTTTGCACAAGTGGCCGTTGTCGTGGGTTCTGTGTGTCAACAGCACAAAAGCCGCACCGCACACATCGCCAACAGTTGCCCCATTCCAGTATTCCAGTTGCATGTTGCGCAATGCCATCTAAGACAATAGTTGCATGAACTTAGCATGTGCCGAGTGAACTCCTCCTCTTTGGGGCATTCGCCTCCGCCAGTTAGTCTGCCAGTCTGGGACTTTAATATTGTTCTTTTGTTCTGTTTGAGCCCGGGAACTCAACAATAAAACGAAACGCCAAGCGGAAGAGTTTACAATTAGCTTGTTAACAATGGCCCGGCATACTCAGCGTATGCGTGATGTGCTCCAAAAAGAGAATCTATCTGACTATCTTTTGTTGTTGAACATTGCAACCATGCCAGGGAGTTAATAAAAACCAGCAAACGAGCACCACTTTATGCTGAAAGAAAGCAAGCTTCAAAAATAATTATCAAATTATTTTGGTAAACTGTTCTCCGTTTTTATACAAAGGGTACAGTTCAAGGGTATATTAGGCTTGTGTAAATGTATGCAACAGCGTTTCCGTCTCGGCAAAGTATTTATATAAAGACAGACACAGTATGGTGTCGGAAGTCGGCCTGCTGTTCATTAAGAACCAAGGGAGACAGCCTTCCCGCCATTTTAAGTCTTTAAGGGAAAAGACTTTAACACTTTTTGTTGTTTTAATACAATCTAATTTCAGAAAGTTTTGTATTGCCGAGAATATGCGTGTCGAGTCGCTTGGCGGCACGGCTCCCCCTTTTTTTGAAGCTTAAAATCTTTATGCATATTTCATGGTGTGCAATAAAGGGGAAAATAGTGTAAAAAGCGCGAAACGAGCCACGGAGGGAGAAGCGAGTTCGCAGAAGTGTTGGCCTGTAATTTACCCAAGCAAAGTTGCTCTCGTTTGGGCGCCTCCTGACTACAAAACACTTTTACTCAATTTTGTGTGTGGGCGTGTGCCCCGTGGCAGCAGAAAAGTTTCCTCATCATAAAAGGGTTAAGTGCAGAGCCCTGTATTTAAAATTTTAAAAGTTATGTACTGGGATTTCACATAGCTTATTTTGGCAAATCTCGCATATCACATGTCAGTTACTAGCAACAAACTTAATGAATAACAAACAATAACAATTGTGGAGAGAGACTGCAATTAGAGCACAAAAACCCCCATTAAAATCACCTAAATTCTAACAGATTCGCGAAGCTATATAAACGTGCGAATGGCGGGTCGGCTGGTCATTTCATTTTTGAAAACCCACCGAAATCGAACCACAAGCTGCCGCGTTCCCGTTGCGGATGCTGATGCTGCTTCCGTGCCGCCTGAGCGAACTGTGTAACCAGCGAAGCGAGGAGTCCAACTCAATAATTAATAATCGGCTGTGATCTGAATAAACGTGTGGATAAATATTTGGTGAAGGTTGAATAACAAATTACAGTTGGGTTGGGCAATGAAAGTGAATAAAAAGTGGTGAATCTGACCAGTTCCACTAAAACTGAACTAAAATTTGAGAAAATGGTGGAGAAGGCCTCGCTGTCGCAACTCAAGAGTTTAAAATGGGGACGTCTCTTCAATATGTTCTATATAGAACCGGTTGTATTTATGCTGATCTTCTCGCACGTGTTGACAGGTGAGCTACATTGTTCTGTGCCCAAACTGTCGTATACGATAAACCTCCCCTTCAGGTACAATCATGCGCAATCAGCTGATCTACCAGACCTGTACAGTGATATTTCGGTACAACGAGACAGACTGTAAACTCTTGGATAGCAAAAACACCTCCACAGAGATACAAGTGAGTGAAATACCTTGCTTCGAATTGTTTTGAGATTCACCATTCTTGCAGGCCATCGAAACAGAGCTGCAGTCGTATGTGGCCAACATGTTCCTAATCCGCACGCTCTTCGAGAGCATTGTGCCGGCCATCTGTGGGCTCTTTATAGGCTCCTGGTCGGATCGCTATGGACGCAAGCCCCTGCTGGTGGTATCTATGATTGGATTTTCTGCCTCTTCCCTGGTTACATCGATTATTTGCTGGATGTCCCGCTACTATATGGTCAATCCTTGGTGGTACACTCTGGCTGCGGTGCCCCACTCCTTGCTTGGAGGTATGTGCGTGTTCTATGTCGCCGCCTCCTGCTTCATTTCGGACACAACGGATATTAAAACAAGGCCTTATAGGTGAACAGTACAATGGCTAAGAGGTTTTATAATTTATTCTCAATCCTGTCTACAGAATGATGTTCATGGAGCTGATTCTCTTTGTGGCCCTCACTAGTGGTTCGCTTCTCTCCAGCTTTCTCAGCGCAGCCACCAGTGCGGCCTTCGTGCAGAGTCTATCCTGTTTCATGATTGTCTTGGCAACACTCTTCATAGTTTTCTATCTTCCCGAGAGCTTGGGTATGCTGCAGGATGATGAGGATATCCCAGAGAAACAAAAGGATGCGGTTGTGAGCATCAGTATTTCCGACCAGCAGCTGAACGTATCCGAGAAGTCTGAAAAGCTTTCTGAGAGACCTTCCCAAGTGGAGCAGAGCGAACCTGGATTGTTCAGTCTGAAAAACGTCAAAGATATGTTCAGTACTTGCTTCAAGAGGAGGGAGAATAATGCCCACACAATCATTTGGCTTGTGACTTTGGCTGGCTTTGTCTCCATCTTTGTTGGCGGTAGGAGTATCCTTTACATCTGACTACATCCATGATTGATACGATGCTTCCTTCCTCAGATGGCGTGATGACTGTGATGTATCTGTTTGTGCGTCAACAGTTTCACTTGACTGTTCGCGAGTACATTATCTTTGAGACAGTCAGCCAGTCTGTGCCCATGCTAGGAGCACTCCTTGGCTTTCTTATTTTGAAAAAGGTACAGTTTTTGCAAAGGAAACCCACTAGATAATGAGTTTGCAATCTTATTAAAGATATTTGGTGTATCTGTGGTTGCATTGGCACTACTCTCTCTCGTCTCGGAGATCCTCAGCAGCCTGGCCAAGGGTTTTGCCTTCCTATCCTGGCACTTGTATTTGTCGGTGGTTCTCGGAGTCTTTCGCTCTATTCAGGGACCCATGTGCCGCACTATAGTATCCAATATAGTGCCAGCTTCCGATACGGGTACGTATGATAAAATATCTTCATTCCAAAAATGTGATTCCAAATGATTGCAGGTAAACTTTTTGCAATTGGCAACATTGTGCAATCGGTGGCACCATTTGGTGAGTGACTTTCCACTTTAACGTTTCCCCTATCCATAATAATTTGTCTGCAGTGGCCGCACCCCTATACACGGCCATCTACAAGGGCTCCCTGGCCAGCAATCCGGGCGGATTCAACTTCCTCAGCGCTGCGCTCTACTTAATATCGTTTATTCTGATTGGGTATGTGTGATTACAAAACTTGTCAGCCGCTTAAATCATTTTCCATAAATTAATTGTAGCTATGTGCTGAGAATTAAGTTCCAGCACAGGACATTCTATGCCAAGCTGCTGAAGTAGTCAAAGTAAACCAAAAGGCCCCGCCCTATCAATATTGATTGAGGTCGAGTTTGTCAAGTTTACATAGCTTGCACGTTGACAACTTTCCAAGAACCACATTGAATAAATGGTACTATTAAAACAGTTAAAATCATCCCTTCATTTGAGGCACAAAGGGAAATTCGAACCGACAATCACAACACATCATGTGGAAGACTCAAATTCCAAAATGCAATCTAAATAGTAAGGTTCAAGTGTTTGATTTGACATCTGTTTGCATTATTTGCCCGACAGAAGTATCCTGTTACATGAATTCGGAATGGAAATGTATCTAATTGTTGTCAGAGTGGTCCGGCTGCTTGTTGTTTTCAATAATGTTCGGTAAGGACATGCATAACACATGAGCGCTTAATAGTGCATAATTTATGTGGCAAAAGTTTGCGCAACATACGAGTATCCAAAAGTTCAAACGCCAAATCATTTGGATCCATTTGGATTCATTCGTTGTGACTTTGGCACGTACCAAATGAATTTGTAATGCTGCTGGTAGTGCCAAAAGTTCAGGGCACAATTTGTGGCAATTTGAATTGTTGAACGTCAACTCTCCGATTAAATAATTCATTGCAAATATATAATGCGCACTAAGGTAGCCTCTCCCTTCTACGAGGGTCAACAAATTCGTATTCCTTACATACCATTATGAAGGGGAACTCTCTGTGTGTGCTCTGTTTGCCCCTACCGTATCAGTATCGTGTTTCCCTGAATAAAGCCAAAGAACAAAAGCGCTGACCCGAAACTGACTCATCAAATCACTGCTGATGGCTATGGCTCGTCTTGTTCTTGTCCTGGTCCTAGTGCTGTGGCATGTGGCCAGACATTTGTCGAGCGGCATTAAAGTTGAGGGCGCTTTAAGAACACACTGCGCGTGCAACAAATAAACGCATTGAGACGAAGCCAAATGCGAGGCGACACTTTGCAGGGAATGAACTGTTGTTGCGCTCTGGCTCCTGCCCTTGCACTTGAATGCTAATGGTGCGAGAGTAGGTAGGTGGATACCTCTTAATATCACAAGACAAGGTTACAACGGACAAGTGACAGAAGGAAGGAAGTCTTAAGCACTGTTAAAGGTAGATTTAAAAGTTAACCAGTGATAGTGACAGTCAATGTTGTTTGTCTGGGACGTGACTTCGGTTGAATTCCAGTTCCGAGTACCAGGTATCATCGAGTCGGATTATCATCATCACCCTTCGCTTCTGCTTTGTTTGCGTAGGAAAGCGTTAACCATAAAGTGGAAACTTTGCTGCGGATGCATGTGTTGCCAGCAGTTAAGTTGAATGGCATTTGGGTGCGTGTCGTGCGGCATTTCCGCTTCCACAGACTCACAGGGCACAAGTCTTTGTCGTCGACGTCGCCGTCTAATTGAGCAGCGCAGCCTGATAGGATGAATATAAAACTTTAAACACTGTCTGCCTGCCAAAGGAGGGGCAACAAAGTTGTATCCTGTTCCGGTTTTGCATGATTGATAGGCATTTTAGTGGCTCCCGCACACACTGACAGCTGGCTTCAATCGGCCGTATCTCGTAGATGGGGGTTGTGTCAACAGGACGCATACGTAATCATTTATTAAACAAAACAAATTATGAGCTGGCAGCGGACACGGACCCCGCAACATTCAACTGTTGACGAAGGTCAAGTTTAGCGTTTACCCAGTCCCAAGTGGCGGACTGGATATTAAGTGAGCAGTCCACGACGTAAAGCCTTACGTTACGGGGAGAGCACAAAACAGATTACTCTCACTCTCTCTTTCAAAACTCAGTTTCTCTGTCCCAATAATACAGAGAGAGCGAGTGAGCTATAAAATGCGAGTCCCGAGGCGGGCTCCCGTCAGTTGGCTGAAAACATCGACACAACACGGTCGCCAGCAGTTCTCGGCATTCGCTGCTCGTGAGTCCTCGTCGTTCTCATCGTCGTTGTCGCTTATCGTGCCCGAGTTACTACAGTCTCTATATTTCGCTTATCAGCGTCCGTTTCGTGGCGTGGAAATGCCGTCGGTGCGGCATTATCCATAGCATACTTCTCCGTGTTGCCACTTATCAAAGAAAACAGTAAAAATATTGAAAATGTTTTGGATTCTACGACGCACGGGTGCCGCCAATTTCTTCAACTCCCTCAACAACAACTGCAGCTTCTCCAAGAACAATTCTAGCGGAGGTAACCACAGCAACAGCACACAAGGTAAGTCGCTGATGGACAGCAATTAATTTATTGTAGGAGTCCGCAATTAATTAGGCTGATTAATCAATTATTGGTTTCATCTGTAATTAATTCAATTGCGGGTCAATCTCTTGCAAGCGAAGCAATGGATAAAATGGAATTAAAGGTGATCATCAATAGAATGAATGTTCTGGCAAGCCAGGAACTGATTTTTTGACAACTTCGAAGTAGGTGTACTAAGCGAAGTTCCCTAGAGGAAATATACAAAAAAGGAACAGATCTAGAGTTGAAATACAATGAAGTCAATGAATAAGTTAATTAACAATGACTCAGAGACAGCTCCGATTTAAATAGAAGACAAAGAATTCCATCAAAATTCACCCAAACTTATATTTCTGCCACTTACGTTTTTTATATATCATAATCTAGTTGCAGCTCAGATTTACCCATGCCAAATTATTGAACATAGCTAAATTGTCTTGGAGATATTTGCTTTCAATGAGACTCATGTGTCAGTTAAGTCCTGGCTTCCATTCATAAGCCCAACTCAGACTCGTTATCAGAACAAGTTAATTAAAATTCTCCAAATGACTTGTGGAATATATGTAGGAGTATATGGCACTCGAACTCGTGCAGATATTGTTTTCTTTTAGCTCTGGCGTATGGTATTCCACCAGAGACTATCTTGGGGTAACACAAAAGAGGGGGTAGCACAAAATAAAGTAAATAACATTGAGACCCCTAGAAACCTACGCAATAATGAGCCTCCGCACGTGTCAGGACCTAAACGTGGCACGGATGTGACTGTCGGAAAATAAAACACTTTAGGCTTTCGGTCCCCAGATGCTTTTGTCTAGGCGCTAAATCTCCCACGCACACAGGAAATAGGGAGACAAAAGGAGATAGAAAGAGGCATCCCAAAGGCAAGTCATCGAAATTTTTCGTTGATTTTTGTTGGTTTGTTCGATGTTTCCTGCATTGTCTGCACAGCGTCCGATCAAACATAAAACCGCCGGGCTTATAGACCCCAAAAATCTCTCAATTTCTATATCCGGCAAATACACAAACTCGTATGTGCATATTAATTAGTTCACGTGGAACAAATTCAAAGCAAAACGGCCAATTGCCAATTATAATTTTGGCCACAATTTAAATTAGTTTCACTAGCAATCATTGTTCATGGCATGCAATCTATTTTCCACCACTTTAGCTATGTCAATTTGATCCTGATTCCATTTATTTTAGTTCATTTGTTCATTAGTTTGAGGATTTCAAAAAAGGATTAGCTGAGTTTCTGCTTAATTCATTCGCAAGTCTGCTGACAGCTTGTCAAAACTCTCTTCAAAAACAGCTGTGCATATGCTCACAGCTCTCCCTTCAAGAATTTGACAAGCACGTCTGGAACCTCACATTGTAGAATCCCTTACCATATTTTTAGGGCATGGTTTGGGATTAAGTGGATTACTTTGCCTGATTTTTACCCATTTCCTCCATTACAGAAATTTACGGATTTCCTATTTAATTAATGTATTATTAACAACTTCGTTTGCCATAATTGTTAACCTGTCCACACACGCACGTTACAAATTGGTATTATTCACTTTACAAATTTGTAAACACTTCGCAACATTAATTGCAATGGTTTGAACGCTTTCGGCAAACGTAAATTTAATCAGAAAAATTACATTTACCAAATATAACAAATGCCAACAACATGTACGGCGGCAGGCGCGCCCTTCAGCTTTTGTCAACATATGTACGTTGTCCTCACACATCCTCAACATGAGCAGTGGCGGACAGGGTGTGTGGATGGGTGAATGAAAGAGAGGGATTTATATCTGTTATGCAAATGCTGGGGCAACATATGGCAGCAGCATTAACCGATAATTATGACAGCCATTTGTCATTGATAATAATGCGTTTGTGCATTCAATTTGTGAAAACTGTTGAGCGGGGAGAGGAAAAGGAGAAGCGAGCGAAATTGTAAAACAAGGAACGGCAATTAGTATCTGTTCGTGTGTGTTTACGTATCTATGTATGTGTAGCCAATTAGCTGAGGTTCCAAGCGAAATATTTACTTTGTTTTTTGTAATTTAATACCCTTGCAGAGGGTGCCACGATTTTGAGCAGATTTTTGCACCGAAGAGAGAAAAGGAGTAGACGACAAAATTACATCACTATATCATATATGAATACACCATAGGAATAAAATATCTCTAAGGGTATCTAAACCTACGGAACTTGAAGTTGGCTGTGTTGGCTGCTTTTCTTGTTCATTGGCTCTCTCTTTGGCTGCTGGCATCATTAGGTCTGGGTTCTCCTCTCCCAGACAACCGAATGATAGCAACAATAACAAAAACAACATATCATAAATTATGGTTGGCATTTTCTCGTTCTTTGGAAATATGTATCTTGGGTCTCAGCAGGCGAAGAATTATTAGGCATTTATTTGGCGTATTAATAACGCTGGCCCCAGTCTGTTGTCTGTTGTTGGGCCATGATTTATATTTTGTTGCCGGCGGGCGGCATCATTTGTAATAATTTGTGCTGTAACTCTAAAGTAGAATCGAGAGAGAAACTTTTATCTCGCCGAGATTACAGTCTTCCTAAACTTTAAGGCGTTCTCTTCCGTTCCGTTCCCTCGCATTTTGTGTCATAAATTTTCATCGCAAAAGCACACTGCGTCTGGTAGTCCACTCCGTCCCAGACCAGTCAGCGCGGTAAACATTGCTTTTAAGGTCTGCAGCATACGTTTTGCCACCCCGACTCTGGTGTGATTCAGATGGTGGTGGAGGTGGTGCACAATTTGGCGATAAAATTGAGTTTCACTCAGCGCCCTCTCCATCCTTTCCTCCCTGCATCCCAACCACGTCCATTTGCTCCCCATATATGCACTTGGTGTTTGGGTTTTTACTGGTCACACTTTTCATATTCGTGTTCTCTTTTTGGTCGGAGCAACCACAACTGGAACGGACAACAAGAGAACCACTAAACGAAATTTTATTTAACTAGAGAGGAATCGTTTGGTTTCTCATTTGAAAGCATTCTAAAAGTCGATTCCGGTTCTCTACAACTATTTAAACACTTGCACTTTTGTTGGCTAGAGCATTTAAGTGCCTGTAAGCAAGAAATGGGAATTTCGTGTCGTCACGTGTACGCATTGTTGGATCGGCTTGCAATTCCAAGCAGCAGAGAGTCAAGCCCACATAATGGGCTGCTAATGAGACCTCGAATGACCAACTGGTCATAAAAATTCCAACGCACTCGTGCCATTAATTTTTGGTCCGTAAATAAAAAGGTTTATAGTATTCCATGGCCAGGAAACTATTTGCGGTGCTTTACCCTACAATCACACACACACACACACACAACACCCTCAATAAATCCCATTTTATCACTTCACGGCTTTTGAGAACAGGCAGGAAGAGGATGAATGGGGGAAAAGAGTAACATTTTGTCTGAGAGACAATCGAAAGCGACACAAAAGCCTCCATAAAGGAGGCTCCTCTGCTGCATTGAGGAGCATTTCCCAATTTCCAATCTGTGGCAAAGACAAAGAAAGTGGTGCAAAAAGTAGACCATTTAAAAGGAGACACGGCAAGTTTTATCAATAGCCTTCAGTCATGAATTTTCTCCCTTTATTTTATGGCAGACAAGTATGTGAAGCGCCCCCCACGGAAGGCATACGGACGACTCAGTGCCGAGGCTGACGATGTCGTGTCACTGGGCCACAAAATCGATGATCCATTCGATGAGCTAGACGACTTTGAAATGCTTGGAGCGAACTCCAGCGCTGGCTGCAGCAGCCATGCCAACAATGGCAATGGGGAGCCGCCAGGTGAAGCCAATGCCAACGTCAATGTCAACGCGAATGGGCATGGCAATGGGAATGGGAATGGGAATGGAAATGGCAGCCTGTCACTTTTAGCCTGCACGGATGCCGACTGTCAGGGCAACTTTGTGGTAGAGAGTGCCCTGTGCGAGCTGGGGTTGTGCCAGGCCAAAGGCAAGACATCAAAGGAGCTGGCTTCTGGGGCCACATCCACATCGAAGGAGATTAACGAAAACACAATAAGTCGACTGCATGCCCTGGCCATGGCTGACGATGATGATGACTACGGTGAGTGCTCTGTCCGTGTGCCATAATGGCCAACTGATGAGCCGGACGGAGTGCGCACAGAGAGTCAAGTCAATTCCTTCCATTTTCAGATGAGTCGCTCACCTGCAACGTGTGCGACCGGGCTTTCCATTGTCACCGTCAACTTGCATCGCACCAGCAGAAGAAACGTCACTTTGGGTAAGGAGAACGGCACTAATTAAGAGAGCTGACGCTCTCACTTTTCACTTTTCCTTCTTTCGTTTTCCATGGCTTTGTATCTCCTCCACAGTTGCAGTGGCTGCGACAGTTTGTTTCCCTCGCTAATGCTGCTGGAGCACCACAAAGAGGAGTTCGAACACTGGAGCGATGAGGAAATGGGGCGGCGCGTCTGCTGTCGACGCAATCGATGCGACGATGATTACTTCACGGACACCGACTCCTTCATCAGCGATGCGGAGAGCGAGGATCTGGAGAGGCTGTTGTAGGGCGTGCCTCTGGAAAAGCAGCCAAGTCCCCGAGGCGACTGTGATGGTGGTGATGGTGGCAGGAGGGCAGACAGTGGCATTGACAGAGGTAAACTAAATTTGAATTAGTCTCCTCCGGATGGGGCCGGACCCCAATGCTATGTAGGCGGAGAGGCTTACCGGTGGCGTCCAGTGGAGCCACCAAAATGGAATGACAATCGGCTGGCTCTGCCTCTTCCTCTGGCCCTGTTGGATAATGAAGATTGACGCTCGGGCGGACCGTTTGTCGCCCTAATGAAAATGAATTAAGCCTCAATCTGGCGAAACAATGAAAGATGTTGGCAAAAAAACCAAAAAAACAAACAAAAAATTACTTTTAGACTGTGTTGTCACTAAATGAAAAACCCAAACATTGAAGCAAACTCACAAGAGAACATATTGTATTTTTAGAGTTCAACTACGAGACCCTTAGACAGGGTCTAAAAACCAAGTTATAGTACATAAAAATAAATATAAATACATATGTAAATGGGTAAATGTATCTTTGTGTGTGTACAAGTATAATGAGCTAGTCGAATACGAAAGTCCATAAATGGAAATCATATCATAAAATGCATATGTCTAAACCCCCCTCCCGAAAACCTCGAAATGCAAACCTATTTACGACAAAGAAATTAAACCAAAAACGTATTTTTCAACAAATAAAACTGTGTAAATCGAAATCAAAATCGAAAACATTTCAGCAATCTCGTTTCTCTCATTAAGAATTGCATGAATTATTACAAATGATTGCCAGACACTTATATAAAATGGCTAGCAATTAAAATTTCAGATTTCGCTGCCAGCGCCCATAAGTATGCAACAATCTTCCCTACTCATACGCAAGCACACAAAAACACAGAGAGTGTAAGACGGACAAATACAACACCCAGGGAATAATGCCCCGTGGACATTTGTTAAATTATTCAGAGGGCGGGTTTATTGTGGCATCATTAAAACTTGATTGACTTGGAGATGGGCGAATGAAGCGGGTGGTCGGCTCGTGGGCTGAAATCTTCAAGAGCGAAAAACTTTTGCGCCCGCCCTCAGGGTCATCTGCTAAATTATTTCCGCCGCAAAAGTTCAACATTAACCTTGAAACAGCTTTGGATAAACCCTATACTTGCGACAAATAATTGCCGATTCTGGTCGAAATTCTTGAATGAAATTTGAGAAAATGTTGCCTTCCCACTCCTTTGATAATTTGGCACTGATCGGCTTTCAGTAATCAGTTGAATAATATTTAAAGCACTTACTCTACTGATCTAATAAGGTCTGTATACGAACATTTTGCTGTTAAAGAAAAAGGAAACAAAAATAAAAGATTCTTATTGGTTTAGCCATTTCACAAAGAAAAATCTCTACTCACTTTTAACACTTATAACACTGAATTAATTATTTCATCTTCAAAGCCATTTCAAGCAAAGCGACATCATTTAATAAATATTTGGCCTTTTATATTTTTGTTTTATATTTAAATTGTGTGTGATAATTGAGTCGAGCTATAGCTTGAAACAAGCCTCCTAAGCCGTCTTCCATTTACATAGATTAAGTGTAAGAGAATTGTATATTTTTGGGATTTTTGATGATGACTTTTGCAGGAAGAGGAAATTACCATCGGAAAATGGATGCGGGATAAGTGGGAGGGTGAACAGTCGCGACAGCAAACACGACAGATAAGTAAATTCATTTCTTATGCTCGACCAGAGCGGTAAATGAAGTGAAGTCGAGACGTGGCCTTGGGATATTCATAGCAGGCACGTAAAATGGATTAGGAAAAACTTTTCCCAGGCGCCAGGCGTAAATCCTGGACTGGCATTCATTTCCCCATTTCCCGACTGCAGCCTGATTGATGCTCCTGTGAAATCAAAAGACGGGGCGGGCGCGGGTTTGGTATGCAAACAAAAGTACGTAATGTTTGAGGGATGCTTGGTCAGGATATATCCGTATGGTCAGCAAACCCTGTGTATGTGGTATGCTTCTTGTGTTTGTGCTCATTTGACATTTTGATGGATGCAAAGGCATAAAAGACTGTCCTCTGGCTGACCAACAGAGCCCTGCACTTCACTCCATACGGCGCCACTCCACTTCTGTCTTGTATAAGCATTCAATTTTGATTTGATTTTATTACGGCACTCGTAAACATTTTATGTATACATCATACGCACTGTTGGCCAGCCAGCCATTTACATAAAAGCCAACACATATACGTATAGACAAAAACCACAGAGCAGCGAAATGTTTATGTGGCTACATATTAAAAGTCGCTTCCAGGGTCCAGTCGAGAGCACAAATTTACATAAAGCATTAAGTCTACTTTAGCAGATGTTTCCCCTGATCCTAGGTAAGGGAAATGGACAATGACATGATCCAACTTGGACATGCCACAAATTAAATTGAATTCATTAGAGAGTCTGAGAAGTATTAAAATATCATTCTGGTGAAATCTCCGGAAAGTGCATTAAGGCCTGACAAAAGAAACGGAAGCGCTATCTTCCTGTCCGCCTGCAGTATTACTCCAAAATGCAGAGAAAAGATGGCAAAGGCGAAGGTGAAGGCAGCCACAGTTTTTTTTCTTTTTTTTGCATGCCAATCAAGGCAATTTGTTACGTGGCAAATTGAGTTTGAGCTGGAAAACAGTCTAAGCTCTTTTCGTGCCTTGCAAGGACGAGTAGCAAGACAGCCATTAGCTAATTAAGACGCTCCAAGCAGCTTTCACACGCCGCCCCCAAACCACACCCCACACACACACATTGCAAGAAACCGCAGACAAAAGACTTTCGAGGCGCCACAAGCGACAACAAGAAAGAGAATTGTGGCAGGCACCAAATTTCACACATTAAAAAAAACTTTGTAAAGCAAAAAAATACAAATTTGTTAGGGAAACTATAAAGGATAGACGAACAAAAACTTTCTCTTTCATTAAATGGTGAAAATTCCCGGAAATTGTAGTAGAAAAATGAAGAATACATTTTGTAGAAATTATCCTTGAGGGTGCATAAAGTTGCTGCTCTCCAAATTCAGCTTAAGCTCTCTTCTAAAACCCATCGTTAGGATAGGATACTCTAATTGAAAGAAAAAACATTCCAGAAATGCATGTCATAGGTTATTTTGGGGAATAAGTAGATGATTTTGTCTAACAAATGATTTCACACCCATAGACTTTTGTTAAGCAGACAACCCCTCTAATTACCAACTTAGTCACATAGCTCAGGTAGACTTTCCACAAAGCTCATTCAACCGCTGCCTATGCAATTACAAAGGCTCTTGTCTAAAATCAAAGGCAAACCACAAAGATTTCCACAAATCGCGGCTTTTTTTACTCTCTAATTTATGTTGCCATTGCAACGCCCCAACGCCTCGTAAAGTTAATTAAAAACTGCTGACTGTCAGCAACGTTTTGTCGAGCATATTGGGTTTACTCGTACATACATACATATATGATAATTGTTGGCACGAGTCACGAAGAACGCCACAATGGGTTAATTAAAACTTGCCAAGTCATTTTTCACTACGGAATGAAAAGAGTGAAGTGAAGTGGAGTGAAGGGTAAAAAGGTAATTTCAATTTCTTTCCACACATGTGTAGGCCTCAGGGGGTTAATTGTGTCATTGCTAATCAGCCATGTGAGTGAGTGAGGGAGATCCTTAGTTATATGTAGCATATATGTATGCATCAGAAAGACAAAGACCCTCCCATCCATTAATGTAAAATGCATACGTGTTCATAAAAAGTTTCCTCAGTGTGCGTTCCCACATACAAGCCGACCTAGGTATGGGTGTGTGGTGTGTATATCCTCATGTGTATCTAACTGTAACGTCTGATAATTGAAAACAAGCTGGCAGATACCCATGCCCGTAGAGTCGTAGACTTCGTATCGTGGCAATGATGCTGACAAAGTAGCAACTGCAAGTGGCTCAAGAGCCCAGCCCGATTTCTCCCCTCTCTGTACATAGTATAGTATCTACAATCCAAAGCTCCAGAATCTCTTAATGGAAGAGCTGTGTACATTAAAGTTGTCCTTCAGCTTCGTTGATAGTTGCGCTTTGGATGGATTTGGGTCTTCAGCAGAGCAAATATTAACTGTGAGCACAGCTCAACGGAGATAGAATATTGACAAATATTTGATTTACTTAAGGGAGCACTTGGCACAGCACCGAAGGGAGAACACCTGCCTGTCTACCTCTATGAGAGGGGAGTGGCCTTTTAGATGGATAAACTCTACACATTTTAAAAGCTGGAAATGCAACGCTCCCTATTTTGGGGATGTTTTTACTACGAGTATGCAAAGAAAAGAAAACATTAGTTTAGTTTAAAAACTTCTCCATGCGAATTTTCAATTCAATTTATTCAACATTATATATAATTTTCCACCACTTCAGGCTTCCTGCCAACACTTGTCACGTCTCTGTGCAGCCGCAGAGAGAGCATATTTTGTCATGTCAGATGACATTTATCACAGCAGCAGCGCCAGCAACAATATCCGGAGCATCCATACCAGCTGCTCCAGGAGTATCAACAGGAGAAGGAGGAGGAGCTGTATCAGCAACAGTAAAAAAGTATTGACAAATATCAATTTGATGCAGTGGCAAGCGTTTTTCGTCTACTGGCAATATGATAAGAAGCTTTTGCCGGACGCTGATTGATGACAGCTTTACGCGGGCGTCAGTCCAAAAGTGAATTTTGCCTCACTCCAGCATCCTGTGTGGGTGGAAGACCCCTCACTTTAACATCAAACAATCGCTTTCCCACTCTGAAAAACTCTTTGATTGATTTTCAATCTGATGTACTCATTAAATAAGTGAGCTAACATATTGTGTGCCCCGATTTTCAGGCGTCTGCCAGCTCAAACAATAACTAAATGTCATCCAGATTCAAGGCCAAGGCAGCAGAATTTGCTGATTAAATTCGGTTGCATAATGGTCTGCCGGCCGGACCATGTGAGGTGAGAACACTGTATGCAGCGATGCGAAGTTTGTGCGCATAGTTATCATTTCTGAATAAGATGGCAAAAAGACAGGCTAAGTGTGGAATCTTGTCCTGCATTGGAAATTCCCGTCAAAAGTGTACACAATATTGTAAAGTTTCAGATTCAGAGAGGTATATTAAAGCCCGATGCACTCTTGAAACTCCTCTCGTCATAGATTGCTCTCTTGCAATGATACTAACTCTTCCTCTGTTCTATCCCCAGCACCCCTCTTGGGGTCTATCCTCTGAATGGTCCAGTCTGAGGAATCCGTAGGCGACACCAAGTTTGCCTTGAAAATGTTCGGAGCGCTGGCCAAAGAGAATTCTCTTAAGAATATCGTTTTCTCTCCGTCGTCAATGAGGACATCGCTTGTTTTGGCCTACCTGGGCTCCGAAGGCACCACTGAGAAGGAGCTCAAACAGACCCTCTCATTGGAAGGAGCCGATAAGAGCGAGGTGGCAAAAGGATTCGCTCAACTTTTGGCCAAAGGACAAAGTCCTCAAGGCGCTCAGTTCAGCTATGCCAACCGGATCTACGTGGCCAAGAAGTTCGGGCTTGTTCAATTCTATCAAGAACTGTTCGGTAAATACTTTAACGCACCTGCCGAGAAAGTAAACTTCGAAGATAGAGCGAAAGTGGCCCAGGAAATCAATTCATGGGTAGAAGAGAAGATCCATCATCAAATCAAAAATCTTATCAGCTCCAGCTCCCTCGACTCTGACACTGTTACCCTTCTGATCAATGCGATTTACTTCAATGCCAACTGGGTAAACCCTTTCTCCATATATACGACTATCTTGCATCCTTTTGTGTCCAGCGAGAAGAAAAAGGTGAGGGTGGGCACCATGTCTCAGCGGAATGTACTGACATTGTGTTCCTAATAATTCTGCCTCTGGAGGAGCAGGGACTGGCTGAACTGGAGGAGAAGCTTAGTGGAGTGGCCTTGAACGAGATAAGTTCGCAGTTGCAAGAAGAGCTGGTGGAGCTGAAGCTGCCCACATTTAAGATGGAGTTTGATGTCTCCCTTGTTTCTGTGCTAGAGCAGGTGACTATGCCATGGAGGGAAAGCTCTTTCAGCTGGGGCTAAAGCAGATGTTCAGTGAAAATGCCAATTTTAAAAGCCTTGTCCTGGAGGACATGTATATCTCTGAAGTTATGCACAAGGCCTTTATTGATTTGAACGAAGAAGGAACCACTGCCGCTGCAACGATTTGAGAACTTTACTAACTTATTTTCATGACAGATGTGAAAGCGGCGGCTATTTCTGGATTTTTCAACAGTACGACGTACCCCTTCATCGTCGATCATCCATTTTTGTACGCCATCAAGGACGACCAGAACACCTTCTTTCTGGGTCATTATACCCAGCCAAATTAAAAAGCTACATACAGATGTATGCGTGCCTGTAGTGTGAGTGCTGGCGTAAGCAGTTAATAAAAATTATCTTTGACTTGCTGATTGGTTTCAGTTGCATAAAGCCGGGCGATAGAAATCGACCATGAACGCTTTAATTTATGCATAAACTCAACTATTGTTGCATACTTTCGACCTTGGACATTAAAGCAGTGTTTTCAAGCAGTGCTAGCTGGCATTCAACTGCTTTATGCGGCTCTACCTTCTTTCTGATTTATATTTTTTTCCATCTAATTGTTGTTTGGTTGCACACAGGAGCACCAAATTTACATACTCGGGATTGTGAGGTTTCCGATCTACTTCCCTATCCTGTACAACCTCTCAGAAAGTCAAAATGTCTATGATTTCATAGCTGAAACATGCCCATCACCATTTCAAATGCCTCCCCGTTCGTAAGGGATTCTGCAAAGGTATTAAAAAGCGTAGCAAAATTTCAATTTACTTTCAAGAGCACAGAGGGAAAGAAAGAGCCACCGCCAGACTCTGAGACTGTGGCTTTCGCATCACATTTAACTTTTCTCGCCTTATATTTTATTCAAATGGTTCCACATTATTATTTTCTTTTTTTTTCTCTCTTTTTGTTTTGTGCTTGTGCTGAGATGCTTGAGTGCCTGACATTTTCACATTTTGCTGCCGTTAAAACCAAATTGCAGGAGAAAACACGAAGCAGGAATGCTGCCATTATTCTCAGGCCTCTGCTCCATCTGTTGGAATGAGGCTGCCTCTACTCCACATCCACCTCCTCAAACGAGCTACGCTTCTTCAATTGTGGGTTACTCTCCTTGTATTTGCGGGTCAAAAGTTGTCAACGACCATTAGGCAGATCTCGTGTGCAGCCCAATTTGGGCACCATTTCAGTTCGGACAAGCATTCAGGTGCTAAGCCTCTGGCCTAATGAGAGTTCCCCTCTGCAAAAACGGATCAGCAGGGGAACAAGCTCAAGTTCTAAGTGAATTTAAAGTGAGACCGCATCGCCAAAGTTTTTACCCTGCCCCTAGTCTCTGTGGCCATTAATTGAGTTACACGGAGAGCACCAAGCTACAAAATTTCATTACGCATACGACTCGTTGCATGACCAGCCATATGAAAAGAGGAAAGGCAAAGTTTGTTGCAAACGTCATTAGTTTTAATAACATTTAAACAAACCAACACAAGGCCCACAGAGCCGCAAAGCCGCACAAAGAGTCTGCTGCGTTGTCCTTGGCAGCCATAACATTTGTTTAGGCCTGTCCGCCTCTGAAATTAATGAGGAATGACATTCGCATTTAGTGCTTCAATGCACTCCACTCTACCTCCGATTTGCCACGTGCCCATGAACTACTCGCTAATCCCATGAGGGTTGTCCCCTCACCGACTGCCACGTGCCAGCCAAGGTTGAGCTAATTAAATTATTCACCTAATCTCCAGGCCATTTTTTACATAATTATCGAGAGAGCGCAAACGAAATTAAAACGAAAATTAAATTTATAACGAAATTATTAGTAAAATGTAGTGCAAAGAAATGCGTAAATATTCGGATAGTATTCATGGTAAATGAAGGCTTAATGCCTTCTTTTTCACTATTCATGGCCTGCAAAATTGAATATATTATTTATTATAAATCGATTTAAATTGATTGCTCGTCTTCCCCGCTCCAGCCTCGGACTGTTTCCTGATTATTTATACAACTTTTCTACCCAAATGAAATCGGACTGTCATAATAAATTCAAGCAAATCATCTGACTCAATCCTGGGACTGGCAATCGGCAAAAGTAATTTGCATAATTAGTGAGAAAGCGACTCTCGAGCAAAGAAACGAAAAAAAATCGAAAAATAAATATTGTGCATAATTAAGGAAAAAAATACACAAGAGTCCAGTAAATGTGTTAATTTGACTTACCAAAACTTTGCTCTGTGTGCAATTTTTCTGTTGGCCAGCTTTCTAAATTAATGCGTGCACACATAAACAAATTTCTGTTTGTTCTTCGCCATTTTGTGCTGACGGCCATTTTGGCAACGCTTTTGGTTTTCTGGTTTTCTAATGTTCGTTTTCATCGTTCGCATCGTTTTTCTGATTTTTCTGTATTTTTTCTGCGCTTTCTGTGCTTTTGTTTTCCTTTCCTGTTTGCGCTTCAATTAACAACAACTTGTTACAGGCGCAAATTGAACTTAAGCTCTCTCAAATTTAAATAAATAAAATAAATGCCGTGCTAAATAACAAAATTTAAGCCCACAAAAAAAAGCGAACAAAATGCTTGTATCTAACGACAGTAGGCGGATGAGTATGTTTTCCATTTTGTCTTGGTTTGTGGTTTTGCAAATACTCGTTTTGGTAGGCGGGTGTTAATTTCGGTGGAATTTATTTTTCAATTTTACAGCGGTTACAGGTGTCGCTCACACGGCCATCGGAAGATGGATACACAAATGGAGATTGGAGATTTCCATAGAGATACACGTACAACAGAGTGTGGGAATATGCCACAGGCCACGCCCCGGCTGTGGGAGGGGTCTTTTTGCCCAAGGAAATATAACAGTTCTATTGGGAGTTTGTTTTCCAGAAAAATCCAGGCTATACCAGACTGACTAACAGATATTGATACTCCCTTGATTTGATCAGATTTGTAATTAAACGTTTTCTGTTTTCTTTGTCGAAAATGCTTTAAAACAGTTGAACTTACTTTTTTATTTTTCGTTTAAAATGTTGTTAAATTAAAAGTGCATGGCTTACACATAATCAATTATATTTTAATACAACTATTTCATATTTAATTGCTCATATTTTTCATTCATTTTCGTACACACTAAACTAAGTACTACATATACGTATTTTATTTAAATTTTTAGAGTTTGCTAAAACTATATTTATTTATTGTATTTCTGTCATTTAACTATGAATTCAAGCATCACTTTCGAGGTACATTTTATGAGCAATCGAAGTAATTTTCCTTTGGAATTGTCTCACTGTTTTCGCATTTCTTTTGTGAAAATAAATTCCCATCAGAATAGCATATTGATGAGGGGAATGGAATGCAGCCATAAAGGAAAATCGCAGCGATTAGCTTAAATTGCACAGGATCTTCCAAAAATACCCTCGAGCTCAACACACACACAGAAACACATTGCACAGACAATAAACCAATAAACGAAAGACATTCGAGTGACCCATAAAGAGGGGAAGCTCCAGCGCAGGACAACAAATGTGCAAATGAAGTATCTTAGGGATTGACATAAGTGTAAGTGCCCCAAAGATGATGCTGCGATGGATTCTGGTGCTGGTGTTGGTGCTGATGCTGCTGCTGCTGCTCCTGCTGCTGTTGATTTAGCTGGGGATGCGAATGGGATTGCAATTCCTGCTGCGTTTCAGGCGCACTGAGAGCAGTGGGATGTGTGTGTGGATGCGGATTGGTGAGTGGAGTGGCCCCAGAAACATATGTTGCATGGTGGGGGCCAAAGTTCGTGCTCTGACTCTGGGCGGGGGGGTAGCCCAACTGTTCATAGTAGGCCGCACACTCGACGACCGCCTGGGAGCTGGCACTGGCACTGGAGCAGGCCGAGGAGAGCGAGGCGGAGGAGTTCAAAGGCGGCGAGTGATGGTGCGCCATGGGCAGCATTTGATCCATGAGATACTGGTCAATTTCCTTGGGATCGATGTCAGTGGCTGACTTGTAATTTAAGGCTCCACTGGCCTGTGACGCGCTGACGCTCGTTGGGGCCTGTGGATGCGAATGGGGCTGATGCTGATGCTGCTCTTGCTGCTGCTCTTGGAAATCGCCAACTCCAAGGCCCACTCCTCCTCCTCCTTCAGCGGCAGTGTAAGAGTAGCCGGAATAATTTACCCCTCGACCATTGCCCGCATAGCTTGCATAGCCGTTGATGTTCTCTAGAAAGTCCATCTCAGGGCCCCCCTGCGTCTGCTGCTGCTGCTGCTGGCTGTAGTTGACGTCGCCCAGGGCTATGTACTCACGGCCAGCATCCAACAGCACTCCGTAATCCGTATTTCCTCCATTACTGCTCGGCTCGCTGAGCTGCCGGAGCAGCAGGCTGGAGCTGTTCAAGGAGACTCCTCCTACGGTGGGCTTCACGGAGGACCCACTGTACGGCGTGGCCGGTGGTGTCAGGGAGGAAGGGGAGCTGGCCGTGGAGCAGGGCGAATCCAGGCCTGGTTCGCTGTTCAGGCTAAGGCCCTGCTCCATGAGGCTGGCGGCGCAGGCACTGTTAAGGGACTTCATGAATGCCTCATTACTGAAAACATCCGAGGTGGAGGCGGAGGTTGAGGTAGAACTGGAGCTGGACCCCGCTGTGGAGCACAGATTGGATCCGTTAACCTTCGAAGCACGCCTCTGGCCGTTGGTTGAGACCCCCGAATTGGAGCTCCTCTGCTGCCTGCCACCGGCGGAAATCGTGGAAGGGTTGGCCGCTGTGGCTGCTGTGGGGGCTATGCCCTCTCCCTGCTGCTGAGGCATGACCCTTGCCTTCTTGCGGCGCGGCTGGTACTTGTAGTCGGGATGCTCCTGCTTGTGCGTCATGCGCAGCTTCTCGGCGAATTCCATAAACGGCTTCTTATCGCTATCCTTCAGATTTCTGCGAATCAGAAAGGGAAATAGTCTGTGTCAGCGGCAGTCAATTTTGAATTATTTATTGGTGGACAAATTGGTCCAGTCCCGCATTCCCAATTAGCCGAGGCGGATGCTTATGCTTTGCCCCACCCTTATCGGCCAGCGGCAGATTCAACTTCTTATCGCCTGTGTCGCCCCGCGCACTGAACTGTGAAATTTTAATTTCGAACCGAACAATATTTTATTACAAACAATGTGTGTGGAAGCGACGCCGCTGTGGCGCAGATTGGGTCAATCTCTTTGGCCTGACAGTTCTGAATTAATGCAGCGATGAATGAAAGATGTGGAGAGCCACAGTAGAACTAGCTTTAAATTGCGATAAAGTTGGGCCACAGGAAGCAGTGTGTTTGCGGTGAGGTAAGGTATCGCTTGAGCTTGTCTAATTTTAGTTTTCAGAACATTCAGCAGCCTGCCAGCCATGGAGAACTGTCTGCTAATGCAATTCCCTCTCTCGGGAGCGCCCTTAACCAACCTGAAAGAAGATTTCCCTCAACTATTCTATGCCATCCTTTTATTTCCCCTACAAGTTGCATCTTTGGCCGCCACTCGGAGAGACGACAAGTGGAGCTTATAAAAGACACTTTCCAAGTGGTTCATGCCCCAACGTTTACGCTGTCAGAGACGTGCAGCAACCCCGTGGTGCACTCTCCCTCTTTCTATGTCTCTAGCTCTGCGTTCCGACTCGAGTGGTCGTGGTCGTGGTCGTGCTCCCACTACTATCCCCGCAAGGGGGTATATGTACTTACTTCCACAACTTGCCCAGCGATTTGCTCAGCTCGGAATTCTGCAGATGCGGATACTGCTTGGACATGACGCGACGAGCTGCCTGGGCCCAGACCATGAACGCATTCATCGGACGTTTGATGTGCTCCTTCTTGCGATCCGTGGGCGCCCTGGAAGAGTTTGAAAAGAATCAGAAATCTGTTTTGCGGGGGGAAATTCAGGGGAAATTTCCAGCGGCTGCCCAAGTGCGCAGTGACTTGCTGGTCAGGAAAATAAGTTTTTCATTAATTGCAAAAAGAACGTCCACGAAGGAACATTTTTCCAGGACAACAACGAATAATGTCAAACTGCAAATTGCAATTAAAACTTTTACTTGCCCATGGGCTAGGCAAAAAGAGAGCGCATAGAATTGGGCTAAAAAGAGAGAGATAGATGAGAGAGAGAGAGTAGAGAAATAGAAGTAGAAGTAGACGAAATAGAGTGAAACGTGAGGCAACAAGGCCACAGGGGCCGTAAAAGTTCAAAATTGCATTCAAAATATAGTTTCGCTTTTGCGATTGAGGAGGAATGTGCAGCGCAGCGGGAAGTGGCAGTGAAGTGAAAACAAAAGCAATCACGAAAATCCGGAAAAATCATCAAAAATCATTGTATTGAAGAGAAGTAGAGAGAGTGAGAGAGAGAGAGAGAAAGAAGACTTTAAACAAGTTGAAAGTTTGGTTTGAATATCGATTTTAGCATTCTAATTGGTCTAAATTTAATTTGAATTGTTTGAGTATCTGCCCAAAGGCTTGACACTCCACCAAGGGGTAGACATATCTACATACATATAACAAGAGGGGAAAGGCAATTGTCGACTTTAAAATACTTATTAGTAGGATGTTTATCTGCTAAAAATATGTAGGAAACAGACAGGAAGAGCACTACTATTTTGCTGAACTTCTGTTCTCAATACTAGCACAAAGGATATTTATTC